GGGGAGGGAAAGGATTGGGCCTCCGCGCTGGTAGCCTCACTCACGGCGAAACACAACGATAACTGAGAAGTTGAAAATTTTGGCTGTCAACCCTTAAATAGTTCTTTTGATTTACCGGAGCAAATATCTCATAAAGAAACATTTAAATAAAGAATCCAGAAAACGAATAGAGTCAAAGAAAACAAAAAATATAAAAATAAAACGTCAGGAAAATAAGAGAAAAGCCAAGATAAGCCAAGATAAGCCAAGAAAACATTGTTGGATAAAGTGAAATCCCGTGCTGCGAAAATTTGGCAAATGTTGTAGGCTATTGAGTGTCAACGTAATAAGAGGAGAGATATCGACATGTTCTGGGCGCGCGGCCAATTTTGGGAACATTTCGAATTACTAAAATTGAATTTCTTAAAACTCAGCCAAAACTGTTAGGATCTAAGCTATTATCAAAATTTTGGTTGGGGCGCTAGCGTGGGTCTGTATTTTGCAGTTTGATACTTTGTTTATTGAATTAAGAAAAAAACATTTTTATTACAGTTTCTTCACTTAATGTATATCTATCTATATGTTAATGTACTGCAGAAATAATAAAACAGATACAATGTAGTCTTAGTGTTAACTGGATTGGACAAATGCATAAGTTCACATCACATTTAGATCCAGAATTACATTTTGCGAATCACACAATGAATTGGACGAGGAATCGCAAACGTAACGCAAACGTTGGGTCACAGCAGGCCGCCAACTATGCAGTCAATGTTCTTTACTATAAAAAGATAGGTAATATAATGTTTCTGTTTGATTGGAAAAATCTCATTATAAGTAAGATCGTAGGTTGTAGCCTATATAACATATAATTATTCCTTTTATACGAAGATTAGATCATCACAAATGTGATACCAATACAAAATACAAAAATATTTATTTTGTTTTAAAAAATGGTGCCATACATAAATTAGGGAGCCCCAGTAAGTTACAAAAGTACTCGAATCTGTTTGTATGTGCGATATCAGTGTATGGAGTTTTTTCGAGATAACTACCACAAAACGAGAAATGGTTTTCGTGCTGTTAAGCAATCGGCACTGACTATAGACCGCAATACCTCTACGGATATTTGCACACGTGCCTTGTCAGCCTTCTGTGAGTTAGGTATTCAGGTATTGGGGATGGGAGTGGCGAGATTGGTGTTCTCAAACTATATCGAACTCAATGACAAACTGATACCCATCATCAATCGTATAATCTACCAGAGGGACTGTGTTTCTTATTAAAAATTCTATATGGTCCTGAGATATTTATAGGTACTCAAAAAGACTTCAGATCCTCTTATTATTATTCACGTGACATCACAACTGGGTCGCGGTCACAATGGCAATAAAATCTTGTTTGACGACGCATTTCATTGAATAATCAATTAATCATATCATCAAGGGCCTGTGTCAGCCAACTGCTGGACCACCGGTTTCCTGTACTGTAGGCGGGTAAAAAGTATAGGTTAATTAGAGAGAAAAGCTCTGGTTTAGGTCATATTGCGGAGCAAGAAGAAATTGAAAGTCGTCTTCTCCTTGGAGGTGGAGCGCCTAAGGCGACGATCGTCAGCCTTAGCCCCAGGAGACGCTCCGGGCCTTGAGGACGGCGAGCGAGAAAACTCCCAGAAAGAAACCCGCGCACCTTAAAGAGCCATCAGATTACCACAAGTGGGGTTAGAGCCGATGTCTAGCCTATTCTTGCAACCGCAATTGACAAGGATTGGGTCGATTTTAGTGACTAAGCGTCTGAAACTCCCTCTTGCCAAAAACAGAGATTTTCCAATAATAAAAAAGGTTAAGTGAAGAAGAGTAGAGAGGTGCTTTAGTAGGCTCTTACAACTCCAGAGAAAGGAGTACGAAGGGTGAAAATACATTCCGTCGTCACACGGCAAATTCCATTATCTAGTATACCTACCTTCTTCAATTAAATTAAAGGAGACTTATATGAGATTTATATCCATTCTCTGTATACTTTGTTCTTTGTAATATATCATTTGAAGATCATTATTATGGATCTGAGAGCGGTACTCTTGTGTTTGTACTTCCTTTGTCTCATCTCTAGTGGATCGGAGGTAATATTGTGAATGCGAAAGTGTCTTTGTTACGGTTTTACACATAAGTGGGGGATGATTTGTACTGTTATGTCTTTGAGAATTGGATTTGATTTTAGAGATTATTGTGTTTAAAGGTGAGCCAATGACGGTGTGGAATTGATTGATAAAATTCGTACTTACAAGAGCAAATATGTAATGAAACGTCAATAGGCTTTTAGATTTTGGAATTTTGTACACATACCGGGACTTAATAGGATTGATGTCTGGCTGGCAAGTACAACCCCATATAGTACTCAGCCCTGGCTTGAAGAAGGATCTGTTAAAGGGCCGAGTTTAGTTAATAAGAGTCTGACACTCCCTCATGCCTTACCTAGGGCGTCGGTATGAGTCAGTTGATGAATTAGCTGATTCTAAAAAAATTACATTAAAATTTAATGATGGAATTTCTCTCTTCCATAATAAACAGCTGTAAGAAAATGTTAAAAAAAAAATTATAAATTTCGCGCACCACTGCACACTTGTTTAATAAAAAAATAACCATCACAGAACCAGAAACAAATCCACAAAGCTCAGTCATGATTAACAGGTTTCATCCACAATTGTTCTACATAAATAACATGAACATCTCCTTTATAATAAAAATGTAGGGTCGTGCAAAACATTGCAAAAGCGAGGAGCGCTCGAGGGCAATCTGAACAAGTGGTATCTCGGTTTTATCAACCCTCATTGTGGAGAGGGAGAGGTAATGAGAGGACTCGTTACGAAACTCACGGGTTTATAACAGAGGATATAAATTGCTGGCTTTATTCTCTAAAGTTTTATAATAAATATAAAATGTATTAATTCTATGGATATGGAAATCTTAGCTGGTAAGTTGTATGCTAAACTAATGCAACATTTGGCCTGACTATAGAGCTAAGGTGATAGACAATCTTGGTTAAACTTTTAAGGATTAAAACCACCATCCTTTGTACACTAGTACTCCATAAGAAGAAGATTTGGACAGTAATCATCAATCTCTAACAACAATCATAGAAAGTAACTCGAAAAATGTCACATTGTTAACTTCTAGGTTTCGAAGCCTCGTGCATGACAAGCGCCTGCCTTAACCTCCAGGCTACGCAACAGGATAACGACTGCAAGCGCAATAATTAACCGCGGCGTTGGCCAGAAGCAGTAGAAGAAGGAGAAGGGATTTTAAGTCAGTAGGAGTCCGACACTCCCTTTCGTTCCTCTCTAGGGCGAGAGAGGTCATTTGGTGATTTTTCACCTTTATCAGTTCATAAAACGTATTGTATTCTACAAACTTCAATATTCATAGTCCAGGCAGTTCCACCTTCATTATTTTTCTTAAACGCCAGTGGGTTTTATTCTCGTTTTCATCTCGGCATTCAATATTTATTCCGCGAGGTTTAATCTTTATTTCATCAGCGCTTGTAATGCGGCCTCCATAGCTTGCTGCTAAATATTAAAACGGCGTGATGTACCAACAATAGCGAGCCTTCAAACAAATTCTGGTATTCTTGTGTTTCTGAATGAGGACTGTGTTCGGAGGAATTTTGTTTTGTTTTTTTTACTATTTTGAATTCGGTTCGTATTTTTGTACCTTCAACGTATTTTCACCAATAAAATTAAAATCAAAATCATTTAATCCACCTAATCCATAAAAAGGTATTTTTGAATCGTCAGAATAGAATATACTAACACCCGGTTTCCGAAAGGCCGATCAATGTTAAAATCAATATAATCTCTTGTCAAGTCATCTGATTGGTTGACTGAATTATCAACAACCAATCAGATGACTTGATAAGAGAATTAACAGGAGATTAGTTAATTTTAGCGTTGACAAGCCTTTCAAAAACCTGGTGTTAATCTGTCAGTCAGTTCATCAACAAAGATTGGTGCTCAATACATTCGCGTTATCGAAGCTGTATACAATCCTTACACTTGTCAAACTTTTATAACTAAAAAATATCAGAAATATCTTCAAGGGGATACTTGAAATTTTTTAAAAGAAATTTGCATTCAAACAACAAACATCTGATTGAAATAGCTTCAGGTCAGACAAAGGCAGGCTGGGAGTAAATATCAACTTAACTGTGCTTTAAGAATAAAGTCCAAAATCGATTAAACTTTGACAGATTGGAGGAGGGTGATGTGCTGTACTTTGAACCTATAAAGTATCCAATCGGGTTTGACATCTAGACGACTGGAGGTCATTGGAGTCACTGCGGCATTTCGATGCAATGTCGGTGAGATAGTTTACGACGAAGTTATACGCTATTTGGTAATGGCAGAGAAAAGAACAGATTTTTGCAAGAACTCGGATCACCTCATGGTTAAGCAACTAGTATCGCCAAAGACACAGAAAAAGGAGAGAAGAATGCTAAACCAGAAGAGTTAGGTACGATTGCGCGGTCTTTTGGTGGTTTTGAATTTGGAGATTCACGAAAGGATTTGGCCTTCCGTAACCTCACTTACAACACTATGGTTATTTCAAACCTGTTTTCTGACCGGAGTAGTATCACTACGGTCAAGCCGAAGCATGGCTCTTCCTCAATTAAGAGGTAGGTTTATAGGCGTCACGCGTGCAGATAGTGGTTAAAACCTCTTTTGCAGCACACGACACACGTCGTTGCGATAGTTTGCTAAGAAGTTGTTACGATATTGTTTCAAGCTTAGTTTGTTCCCAAACTTTCACTTCAACGGGTTGTTTGAAAGTTTTGTTTCTTTTTATAGTTGTATAGTGATTTTGGGGATGGAATTTATTAGATTTTTCTTTAAATTTATTATGTAATGCTTTTATTAATTTTTTCACTCTATGTTATGAACCATTACCACCTTTCTAAATGTGTTAACTTGCGATTGTTTTAACGGTATTCATATTTTTCGCATCATAAACGAAAACGAAACATAACATTGTTCACGCCGCCACCGTAAGTTCGGGTCTGCGGACGGCGAGTAAGAGCAACTCGTACGGTGTATTTAGCGTGCGGCGCGTAGCGTTCCGCGCGCGCACAAGGAGCCAATAGACCACCACAGACTGGGCTTTATAGGGCTGATGTTCAGCCGGGGTTGCGGGGTAAGCGCAATGAGGCACCGCAACCTGGGCCCAGAGCAGGAGAAGGAACAGGGGGGGTTTTTAGTCAGCAAGAATCTGACACTCCCTCCCGCCCGGCCCTGGGTGGGATAAGCCATTTGATGATTTTCCCCTCAACATTGTTCAAGCCGATATTTCGGTAAGTAATCGATCCACTTGAGCTAGCCCAATCGTCCCAAAGCGTGTCTCTACCACAATTAATAAAAAGAAGGCACTAAACATCAAACGATTAACAAAAAAGGGATCCTAAGTCAATAAACAGGAGGTACAAATTAGACCAACCGCAAATAAATTTTGACTAACCACGTTGTAGTTCTGAAGTGATCTGTTAATGGTCACTGTTGGACCCTCATACGTCACTATTAGCAGAGCCCACAGACCCTGGCAATACTTCACATGTGACTGGCACATCAATCTTACACGCAACTCCACTAACTAGCTATAGTAAGTGTGTAGAATGCCTCGCTTGATTCAGAAGTTCAAAGCACCTGCTTAAATTGAGGTAACGGTTTTAATGCTACACAGTGAATTAGAAAATTGTTGTATGTTATGTGGAATGTTGTGGTGGCCCAGAGGTTAAGAAGCCCGCTTCTCATGCAAGAGGGTGTAGGTTCGAAACCTGGCAAGTACCAATGTGAGTTTTTCCGAGTTATGCATATGTGCTTTCTATGATTATTTAGGCACCAATGACATACGTTAAAGGTAAACATCGTGAGGAAGCCGTCAAGTTTGGAATCGCCAACCCGCATTGAGAAAGCGTGGTGATTAATGCTCAAACCTTCTCCGTGCGAGAAGAGGCCTTTGCTCAGCAGTGGGCACTTATAGGCTGTTGATGATAATGTAGAATTTAAATTTAACCGTCTTATCAATTGCGGAATTCTCACTATAAAATTGTTGACTAAAATTAGGATCTATGTTAATTGGGGGCTTGCATTACAATTGGGGAGGCCTATGTCCAGCAGTGGACGACATCAGGCTGATGATGATGACTACAATCAGACAAACAAACTACAGTTTCAAAGATTCAGTGAAACACTGCTGGTGGTAGCAAATATTTTTTTTTTTTATATCAGACTAAAATAAAAACGTGGCGCCCATTAACCATTTCTGTATACTTTCTTCACTAAGAGTGGATTGCATCGACTAACTATAATCGCAAATGGACATTTTGTCAGTCAATGACCAACCGTGGCGGCTTCACGTCTCACTTCAATACTGAGCCCATGATGTACCAAAGTATAAGGTAAGATTTCAGTGGGGCCCTTCATTTATATTTTAGTCTAATATGCCTTAAAGCTATGCCGCATTTCTAAAACTAGGAAATTCTTTTTATTTTTTAGTTTTCAGTGGAAGTGAGATGAATCCGTTTAACCTATTTTTTGCTAAATATGCTTGTTGTTGTACACAGCTTCAAAATAATACAACAATGATATTATGTCCTCAGAGGTCAATCTAAGGCGCAGTAGACTGTGCCGACCTGACCTATGTCTGCGGTACAAAAATATCGAGATATAGATAGAAGGTTTTTCAATGACAACGTCTGTGGTTACTTATAGCTGTATCGATTATAATTGTACCTCTTCAGAAAAGTGAAAGACAGAAAATTCTCTATAAAATTTTACATGTAATTTTTAGGTTAAGACTCAGCCGTGGTTGCGCATGCAAGCACACTTTATCGAAGCCCGATTTGGAACAGGAGATGGCACTGGTTGGTTATTAGTCAGTAAGAGTCTGACATTCCTTTCCCCCCACCCAGGGTGGGAGAAGTCGTTGGACAATTTTCTGACCATAAAAATGGGTTGAATTTGATGGCTAATATCAATCAAATGAAGTCTTTTTTTATGTAATAGGTCGGCAAACGAGCAGACGGATTACCTGATGGTAAGCAATCAGCGCCGCCCATGCACACCCGCAACAACAGTTACGAGTGCATTGCCCACCTTTTGGGGATAAGGAGTTTGGAGATTTGGGGATTGGGGAGGGGAAGGATTGGGCCTCCCGTAATCTCACTCACACGGCGAAACACAAAGCTGTGGTTGTTTCACGCCGATTTTTTGTGAGTCTGTGGTATCACTCCGCTCGAGCAGATCCATTCGTACCAAAGCATGGCTTTCAAACACATTTATAAGAATTATAATTAGATAAACAAATAAAGAAATAAAATATACACATACAAATAATATCTAAATAAATACACGCAAAAAACTAATACTCAGACATCGTAATAAACCAACCTAATCAATCAACCCTCGTACGCCGCCGTACAAAGGCTTTTCACTAATACATGGTACGACATGCCACGGCGTGATCGTGAATCAAGTGTATCGATGTGAAACTACAGCCGTTCGTGTCACGCTACGTGACAAATTAGTTGGGCTAATGGTCCGCCGGACCGGCCGGCTGCAACGAAGGGTTGGGTGAGGCTTGGCGAAAATTGTAAATTGTACGTCGAATTTGGAGTTAGGGGCAACCCTATCTTCGGTAATGGGGGTTTTTGTCGTTACTACGATGATGATCGCGTCGATTTGCTATTGTGATCAAAATGATACGTCGATTGAGTTTGTATCGATACAAGGTCGTTTATATTTTTTTACGATTCGTTTTGTTACTTTCAAGGTCTTTTCGATCGTGGACATGAGCTTGAAGGTTGATGTACACGTGTATTATAACTTTCTTGAGACTTATTAAATGTATTACTATGTTTAACCGCCTATTCGCATAAATGTCTGACGAGCGACTCGACTAGTTTCCAACAACTTTAGGGGCTCATATTCATGAACAGCATTGCACAGCCTTCGTCATAATGTAAGAATTTGCCAAAAACCAGTCATCGACATCTGTCTTAAAATCTGCATGCTAAAATGGCAATGGGCAGGCCACGTCGGTCAAAGAACAGACGGCCGATGGGTCAGAAAAGTGCACGAGTGGTGACCACGGACCGAAAGACGTACCGTGGGCAGACCTCCTGCTAGGTGGACCGATGACCTCATCAAGGGTCGCTGGGAGCTAATGGATACGAGTGGCGACTTGTCGTTCGACGTGGAGGACTAAGGGGTAGGTATTTGTCCAGCAGTAATTGTCTTCTGGCTGATGATAATTAGCTAGTCAAATAGTCGTAGAGTAGTTGATTAGCTAGACATAAGCACCTCCTATCAAATACTCCAATATCACATACAAATACCCATACTCATTCTAATTAACTGAATGCTGTGAAAACGTAGCGCATCATCGTAAAAGTGTCACCAACAGTCACCAACACATACAAAGTGAAAATAGTTCCACAACATGGCGACAAATGGAATGGAAACATCAATAGGTGGCGTGCAGCGTGACAAATTAGACGGGCTAACAGTTTGCTAGCGGGACACGGTTTGTAGGTTAGGAGACGGAGCAATTTACTTATCCCCATCTGATAATGTGATGGGGCCAATTTTTGTATAGTTAGATATTTGAAGGCTTGTCTTTTAAAGTCTTCACATCTGAATATCTGTGTTTGATTCACCGATCGGGGACGTTTTTTTTTTGGGAAAGTGACTATTGTTAAGAATACAAAATTAAACCGTATTTATATATTAACTAAAGCCGTATTTGGCTAAAAGAACAACGAAACATTCATTCACACATTCTTACAAACTTTCACATTTATAATTTTTTTTTTTATTTATTTATCATTTTTACAAATATTACAAGATTATTTACGTTAAATAGCAACCAAAAAACCACTAAGGTTTAAACTTGTGCTATCATGAATCATCTCAAATCGAAGAAAAAAAAAATTAGTTACAGTTTTATAATTAAGTATGTGTACGTTATTATCGAAATTAATTTATACAATATTTGTGTCAATCAGTAGGAGAAAACATTCTTAAATAATACTTAAGTAATATTTCTTAAGTTTACAATTAATATTTTTAGGTGTAATATTACTTTTTATTTCTGAGGGTATGCTATTAATAAGCCGTATTTTTTTAATAATATTAGTAGAATAACGATTTCAGTCTATCTATGTAACTCAGTTGGAGGTTTTATAAATATTATGGAATTTTCAGTAAAAAAATCCATGAGTGACATAGGTAAAAAGTATTTCTTTCAGCTTAAATTAAAGTTTATTCACGTAAAAAGGAAAGAAGAAGAAAAGAAAATACAAATGTGTAATTCATTTTCTCACTAAAAACCATACACCATTACATGTGTCCCACGGTGGGCGCCAAATTATTTCATTTAAGTTTTTGCACCTTTTAAACCCACCTTTTTGTTTTGTTATAAATATAAAGAGTTTTAACTTCTTTATAATGTGTTCGTCATTTACTAAAACTAAGACTCACCTCCACGATCCGGTCATTGACATGTATCTTCCCGCATAGATCTGCTGAGCTGCCTTCACTGATACTCTTCACGAAGATACCACTTAACTCCTCTGTAACAAATAATATACTTTAAGTTTACACACATAGAACTGATTTTTGAATTACTGGTAGAATGAGGCAGAATCTAAAGTAAAGAAACACACACTACATCATCAGCCCACATATAATAGACCCACTGCTATGCAAAGACGTCTCCTTACAATACATGGAGAAGTTTTGAACATACCACGCTTCCTCAAGGCGTATTAGCGATTTCAAATTTATTATTAGAAATTACATATAAATTCAGGTTTCCTCATGATTTTCTTGACCATTAGCCAGTAGTCTAAATACTAAGTAAGTCTAAGTAATAAAACTAGGAAAAAGTCTCACACTCCAGGTTTCCAATAAGTCAACTTAAATCCTCCTCTAAATAACCGCTTCCATATCACGGAACCCTTTCAACATAATCCTTCTCCCGATTCACTTCACAATATTCTAACTGGCAACACCAAATAATCATATACTAGCAACACCGAGTCACCGTGAGCCAATCAAAATTGGCGGTGAACAACACGCTCATTTTGAAGGTACGTTGTTTTTGGTATACCCCTTTAACTACCCTCATCTTATCTCGACCCCCTCAATATATCAAGGCGATAAGGGTTAATTTCCCCCAGCCGCTCCCATATTAGAAAAGTTTGGAGACACGTGACTTGTTCTCAGGGGTGTACTCGACTTCTTACTGTTTATTAGCACTTGTGTACACCCGGTGGTACAAGTACTGTTATTGCTTTATTGTGGGCTTTTCACTGTAATGTTTGTGTTTTAGTTTGAAGTGGTTTGGTCGTAGTAGGATCTAAAGGTTGTACTGCTAATAAAGGCTCTATTAAGGTCGTGAATTGAATGTTCTAATTGGTTCAGGCCACTGGACCATCATTTGGAAATGTCGAGAGGAAGAATGTTTTAGAAGAAAACCGCACTATATTTTTATCCTTTACTTGTCGATTCTGATGTTAAAAAGTTGATTTTTGTGTTATAAAACGGTAAATGGCCAATGGATTACGTGATAGCAAGCAATCAGCGCCGCCCATGAGCTAGCCAGCCTTTTCGGGATTAGAGTTTTGGGGATTTAAGGAGGGATGGGGGAGAGCCTCCGGTAATTTAACTCAACTCACACGGTGAAACACAACGCTATGTTTGTTTTAGTTGAGCACTCGTGTAGAATCGGTTCGATCGTGCCGAAGCATGACCCTCCCACGCTTAGATGTCATTTGTTATTTACTTGTAAATCAGAATTCCATCAAATAAAAATAGACATGTCTCCATTTTTAAAACTCGGAGAATTTAAGACTTTATTTGATCAAACTCATTCAAAAAAGTCTCCAAATTGGTGATCTGAATCCAAGTTAAACTGACCTTTCCCTAAAGCTAAGGAACTGAATTGAAAATGAGAAATCTCATTGAAGTGAAATCAATTTTCCAGATCAGAGTCACCGAGTCAAACGAATACGAACAATGAGAGAAAAATATCGAAGATTAAAAATAGTTCAAATTGATTTCTTTATAATTTTCGGATACACATTTTGAGACTGAAATTTGCAAGTTGATGCTTGGCATATCGTAAAAAATACGATTATTTATTTATTAATTTTATTTTAATACTTTTCGCACATCGATGTATAATGGCGAACTTAAATCTGAAGACATTTTATTCTTTATTATAGAAATGTTTATTGAACTTTTGTTTTTTTTTATGCTATTTTTCTTCTGAAAAATGATCGTTCTATCAACCAATGGCAAAACTCTACATATTTAGAACATGATAGTTTTATAAGGAGTCAGAATTTATTCATACCAATCATACTTAATATATTTAAATTAATTATTGCGGTTAAAAATGTCCAGATGTAAGTTTACATTAGCTGGTTGGGTGCCACAAGGACACAATTTTGATACTTAGAAGATCTAGCGAAGATATCTTCTAATAATGTATAGGCATAAGCAAGGCAAGCTCACTGCAAACTTACTAATGTCAGTTGAATGAACTCATCACAAAGACTATAAAAGATTCCACTGCTTATAAACTATTCATTTGACAGAAAAAAGGTCACAAACAAAAATATTTTGCGAACCATCTTTCTAAATTACAGAGTTCCTGTCAACTGTCCTGCCTTATCATTATTTCTCTGACCTTGTGTGACCGCGAAAGCCTTCGACTGACTAAAAATAACTTACTTTACACAGACTGTAGCAGACAGGGGGTAAATAGTAGGCGACTGGTGTTTGGAGTACTTCAAAGTGACCAACACACAAACAATATAAAGTTTATACTAATACGGTACATATGACACTTCTATTACATAAATATATATATATATATTACACATAAATTAAATTATGTATAAAGAAACATATATGTAAACTAGCATACTACAAACTAAATGATTATATACAAGATAAAAATACTTGGAGGCTAGCTGGTCCTACTCCACAGGATGTTTAGAAGAATTTTTGATTTTAATTATTAATTTGTATGTGTGTATCTTCTAAGTGTTTGTAAATGTGAGTGCCCTGTAACCTATTATAATTAAGTAAGACTTGTAGAATATAGGTACTTGTGTCGGCTGGGAGCTGTCATGCTCACTCAGAGGTCTCATTGGCGGTGGCACGGGCACTGGATCGCCCAATTCCCTATAATATGGTTGAGTTGAGTGTCGTGGTGGCCCAGAGGTTAAGGAGCCCGCTTCTCATGCATGAGGGTGTGGGTTCGAAACCTGGCAAGTACCAATGTGACTTTTTCCGAGTTATATGTACTTTCTATGATTATTTAGACACCACTGACATACGGTGAAGGTAAACATCGTGAGGAAACCTGGACTTATAATTTCTAATTATAAGTTTGAAATCGCCAACCCGCATTGAGCAAGCGTGGTGATTAACGCTCTAACCTTCTCCGTATGAGAAGAGGCCTTTGCTCAGCAGTGGGCATTTATAGGCTGATGATGATGATGATGATGGTTGAGTTGGGCGGTGCTGGTGTACGTGTCATGTTCGTGAACGGGCGCCGCCTATTGAGACTGGTCAGCTCCAGTGGTCTGTCTAAATATGTAGTCCTTGAGGTTCACTTCTTTTTCGTACTTTTTGCCTGAACATTAGTGTTACATTGTTCTCACATATCAGAACCGACTAAATGATGTAACAAAGAAATGTATTGTAAAACTGATTGAAAAAGAGTAACCATGGAGTTTCTTGCTCGTTCTTCTCCATAGGAATCTACACTTTGGAACGAGCAAATAGCTTCACTAGAGGACAGACGGACAGACTGACACGCTTAATTTGAAGGCTCTTTTTATATACTTTTTTCCTTTTTTGCTTGACGTTCAAAAGTGCCTACTGTGGTCTAATTGAAATAAATGATTTTTGACTTTTTTTTGACTAAATTGCAATTTTAATAAATATAATCATCACCAAACTGTTTGGCATTGAAAAAAAAATTGCAAAATACTTCAGACATTTTTTTTGGAACATAATTTTTAATTTCCTTCGACTGCACGGTTGGCGCAGTGGCTGTAGCTAGCTGCTACGCAACGTGTCGTGGGTTTGATACCAGTACGGTACATCTCTTTGTGTGATCCACAAATTGTTGTTTTGGGTCTGGGTGTGATGTGTATGTGAAATTCTATGTAAACGCACCCACGACACAGGAGAAAATCCTAGTGTGGGGCAAGAAAAAAGTTTTATTTAAAAAAAAAGAAAGGCAAAGAAAATTTTAACGAAGGCTAATTGGAAACATAAATCTCGATTGAGATTTAAGTAAATTCTTGGTTTCATGTTACATTTATTTTTATTTAAGGACTTGCTACTCGTCGTAGCGTAATGTTTATAGCCTATATTATACTCGTTGCTATCAATAAGTAAAGAATTTTGGGAATCCGACCAGGGGTTCTAATGATTACCTAGGAGGTAATCATTGGAACCCATACAAACTTACAAACAAAAGACTTACAAACTTAAAAATTTTACCTCTGTATAATATTAAGTATAGGTATAGATTTCAGGAATAAGTGCAATAACAGGAGAAAGAACAGGGGGTATTTTAGTCCATAAGAGTTTGACACTCCCTTTTGTCCCAATCAGTGCGAGAAAGGCCATTGGATGATTTTCCTCTCTCCAAAAAGGGGCACATAATTAGTCCCAAATAAACTAACTACATTTACATACTACATAAGAAGAGCTGAACATCGAGCTCAGTGGCGTGCAATTGAGGAGGCCCATGTCCAGCAGTGGACGACAACAGGTTGATGATAATGATGATGAAACTAACTACAAAAAAATCATTCAAAAATATTTTTAGAACAGAACAGTACCCAAACACTTTCTGATTTTAGGTTCATTATCAAAATCAAAAACCTGGACTTATAAAGTTTGAAATCGCCAATCCGTTGAGTAATGAGAAGGGTTGACCTTCTCCGTGTGAGATGAGGCCTTTGTTCATCAGTGGGCATTTATAAGTAAAGAAGAATCGTACAGTATATTTTTGTGATAATTATTAAGACTCTAAACGAATCTAAGAACCTTAGTAGTAATTTATCTTTAAAGAACTCGTTACAAAGTCAGATTTTTTTGCTACTATAGTATAAGTTTAAGTTTAAGTCTCCTAACACAGGCACATCTTGCTTAAAAGGAGGCTTCAATCACAATATTGTAAGCACAAAAAACTGTTTTGCAAATAAACGATTTTTTTTTTGCTATTATAAATTATCACAAATATACTGTACAACTCTAAGGAGAAAAATATGTCGTCTTTTGAATTCAAATGGTAATAATTTACAAAGCGCACGAAAGATAGCAAGCAGGTAATGACGTATTTCTGAACAATTGTGCAGAGTCGAGCGTCTCATTATATTTGTGAAGTCAGTGTCACACATTAACACAATCACTTCGTTAGATAGCAAAGGAAACTTCCAGAAATTGTGGAATACTTTTAACATTATTATTGTACTAGGTAAATATGTATGGGCATGGTAGAAAAAATGGTTGGTGAAAAACTTGATGTAGGTATTTTCAGGGACATTTTTGAACTTTACGGAAGTCCAGATATTAAGAAAAGACTTTGTCCTCCTGGAGTTTTCTAAATCAGTTAGATATCTGCTAAGCCAGTTTAAATCATATACAATTTGAAAGTACCTACTACATATTATATTCCTAAACATATACATTAACTCGTCATTTATTCTTTAATTACACTGACAACAGTAGCGTCTGTATTTGTAGAAGCTTATATTTTATTCCAGACTAAAATATATGCCAAATATCATTCAGTTCCGTACGGTATTTTTTTTTCGTGAAAGGGTAACAAACGTCCATACATACATAAATCCATAAATTGCATTAATAATATTAGCAGGCATTTTTTTTTTGTCATAACAATATTATTTATTTAATAATTAAATCCTTTATTAATGTTAACAAAAAGTTTACAATATATAAACCCACCAAACTGTTTAGACAGTTTAAGTAAGCAAATGATCTCTCTCACACAGTGAAATACAACGTAAGTCTTGCTAAGCGCCGGTTCTCTATGAGACGTGGTATGGTGGTCAGTCGTGCCGAAGCATTGCTCTCCCATACTTAAAAAGTGTGGATTTATATCACCCACAATTGATATAGGTAATTTAGGTGTGATATTTATTATACACCATACAATTTCTTTTACCTTTTTTTTGTGAGGGGAAAATCATCAAATGACTTCTCCTGCCTAGGGTCGGGCGGGAGGGAGTGTCAGACTCTTACTCACTAAAAACCCCCCGGCTGAACATCAGCCCTATGGGGCCCCGTCTGTGGACAATTTCTTTTACCTAAGCTATGGATTTTGAAAACCCCCAAGAAAATATTTGAACAAGAAACTAACTAAGTAACTTCCAAATCAAACCTTCCAGGCCACGTGTTGCCAGCTCTCGACATCTTACTAATATAAAACTTTGAAAAAAAAAACGACTTTTCAAAACTGGCAAGTTCTTACGACTTTTTAATTACTTTCTGTTGAAAGTGATAGATGGCGCTGGTATCGGTTTCATTATGGGCTACAATTTCAAAAATTTCTTTGGTGAACAAATTAAAGGTCTTTGGTTTTGACCTTCGAGGTAAAGATATATAGCAAAAAGTTTTTAATCTACAAAGAATGGTGTTAAATGTACAAAATAGTTTGACATACGTCTGTAAAAAGATAGTGTTCAAATAAAATCTTTAAATTTTTATTGTTTTTATATTTTATAAAGCTGAAGAGGGTGTTTGTTTGAACGCGCTAATCTCCGGAACTACTGGTTGAAATTGAACAATTCTTTTTTTGTGTTTGTTAGTCCATTTATCGAGGAAGGCTATAGGCTACAACACTTTACGCTAGATCTGTAGCTAGTATTATAATATCTAATAGCTACTTTCGCGCGCGGTTTCACCCTCTGCTCGGCTCCATTTAATCGTAGCGTGATGTTATTATAGCCTTACAGGAACATTGTAGCTATCTATCAGTGAAAGAATTTTGGAAATCCGACCAGCGGTTCCAATGATTACCCACCTACATACAAACTTACAAGTTAAACCTCTTTATAATATTACTTATAGAAATATAGATGTAGCATTGTATCAATGTACATATCTCTAGAAAAGAATGTTTTCCCGAGCATGCGGTGCGTAGCGATGCAAAGACCCAACTGTAGGCTCAGCCAGCACCAAGGATCGTTTTCAGTCATTATGAGTCTGACACTCCCTCTAGGACGGTAGAAGTCATTTAAGGATCCCCCTCATCAAAAAATGGGAAGAATGTTGCCAAAGAACGACAGCGGATCGCGAAATATTTATTCGAAAAGTAAAAGTTTTTGAACAATGGCCTCTTAAAAGTAGAAGTTTTGAACATTTTCTTGATATATGCAGACATTAAGCGTATTCTACAGGACCATGTTTTAGGAAGGAAGGCTCTTATTTGAGATGTTTTGTTTATATATGGCGGCCATCGAGCATACGTATCACCTGATGGTAAGCAAACGATGTCGCCCAAGGACCCACCATAACCATCAGAGGAGTTATAGCAAACAAGTGTGTTGCGAGGCTTTTGGAGTTAAGGGGTTTGGTGATTAGGGAATCCCTTAAAGATTTGGGGATTGTGGATGAAGGGAAGTGTAAAATTGATCATCTTTACTTAAACAGCGAAACACAAAGCAATGTAGCACTTATCTGAAAATATTTTTTTGTCGATTGACTACCTGCACTGAGTAATCTACAAAATGTTTGCCTTTCCTCATGCTCGATCTGCCAGACCCAGACCCAGAAATGCTGACAATGCCACTGCAACTCCTCTGGTTTTGCGGTTTCCATGGACGACTATGATAGCTTACCACCATGCCACATAAGAATGGTGATAATTTAGATAAGAACAATGGTCAAACAACGAAACTTAAACAATGGAGACTAGCCTAACCCCCGGATCTGTCCACAATTGCGTGTTCCACCTAGATTTGAAACGGACCCTATAGTTAGCGAGCTGTAGAACAGAAATAGACGGATCGATTTATTTGAACTAACAGTCTATTAATAGACCCGTGTTCCATTCCTGTGATATTAGGTTTTGACGCATAGTGAAAGGTCTATTATGAGTTGAAGGGAGTAAGTAGATATGGGGTACTTTTTAGATGATAACGTAATCTAACCAGGCTTGAACCCAAAAAAGTTAATTGTAGGACCATTTAGCATTTCTTTCAAACAAAGCATTGTGTTTCGCCGCAAAAAAGTCTCCTCCTCTCCTCCTTTTTTAAGAAACTTATCCCTTATCCCCAAACCCTAAAACTCCGAAACCCTAATCCCCAAACGGCTGACATAGCAGTTGTAACTCCTTTGCTGGAGTCCATGGCGCCAATTGCTTACCGTCAGGTAATCCATTTGCTCGTTTGCCGGACTATAACGTAAATAATAATCCACATGTTTCGCGTCGATTAAAAAAACAACAACACTGCCTATGTGATTTGAACCCAAAACTCTTTTACTTAGCAATGGCATTTGTAACCATTTTATCGGCGAGTCTGTCAAAAACAGTGATCAATAATAGTTCACTTTTTACTTTTAGAAATCCGTAATCTTGCCTACCTCTGTATAAAAAAGGAGGTGTAATACCTCTTTTTATTATTACCTTGGATAAACATTTTTCTACTTTCTATCCGTCTATCCCGGAATCTAATATTTAGCGATCTAAGCTCGATCCACAGCGCCGCTCCATTCATGTGTAAAACAAGGATAACCCGCAGTGTTTTTACCCGGTCACTGGAAACTTATGTGTATTCTTATATGTAGGTTTTGTATGTATATAAGTTAGATTATGTAGTCTATGTTTTTTTATGAAATAGGTCGACGATGAGCAGACGAATTACTTGATAATCTGCGCCGTCCATAGACACTCGCAATACTAAAGGAGTTTACAAGAGCGTTGCCGACCTATTGTGGGTTATTAGAGATTTAAGCAAATATAGTTTGAGGGTTGGAGATGGGGGGAAGGATAGGTCCACCGGCAACCTCACTCACGGGGCGAAACACTACCCGACAACCCCGACGTTGTGCATAGGCAACGCTGATTGCTTAAAACCAGGTAATGCGTCTGCCAATTTGTATGCCGTCCCATCACATAAAAAAGCAATATCTATTTAAAAACTCTCCAATAAGGTATCCCTATGGCTGATATTGACAAGAGCTCACCCCAAGTTAACGAAGCGTGCTGAGATCATATGTAAGCAGCGATCACCAATGACCGAGGTAATGTTTGATGTAGCACGTTGATTGATCTCCACTGCCTTGAGCCTTGAACCTTGTTTTTATACTGCAGTATGTACATATGAGATACTAGCGTAGATAGGCGCAGAGTAGCCAGCCTTGCGGTTTTCTACAGGATGCATTTTGGAGAGTGTGCCCAGGAATTGCACGATTTGATTCCGCCATCCCAATTTCACTTTCGGACATCCCGGCGTACGGCGAATATCCACCCCTACGTTGTTGAGACACCTGCGGCCCGGACTAAGCGTTTTGCCTCGTCATTTATACCGCGTACATCGAGAGATGGAACAGTTTGCCGGCTGCAGTCTTTCCGTCCGAATACAATTTAGGTATCTTCAAGGCTAGAGTGAATAGGCTCCTAATAAACAAGTGCGCCTTACCATCAACGATTGCATCACTGCTTACCATCAGGTGGGATCGCAGTCAAGCACTAGTTTATTGCAAGTAAAAAAATAAAAAAAAGCTACTCTGCGCAGTTTCACCCGCTGCTCGGCTCCATTTGATCGTAGCGTGATGTTTTATTTAGCCTTTAGCACTCAGAAACATTGTAGCTACCTATCAGTGAAAGAATTTTGGCAATCCGACCAGCGGTTCCAAAGATTACCCCCTACATACAAACTTACAAATTTTACCTCTTTATAATATTAGTATAGACAGAAAGGCAGTGTTACAATTACAATTTTGGAATTGTCAGCTACTAAAACGTCGTTGTGGCCCAGAAGTTAAGGCACCTGCGTCTCATGCATGAGGATTCGAAACCTAGTAGTACATTCTAAGATGATTCAGACACCACCGATATGTGGTGAAAAAAACATCGTGAGGAAACCTGGACTTAAAATTTCAAATAAATAAGTTTGAAATCGCCAATCCGCCTTGAGTAAGCGTAGTCATTAATGCTAAAACCTTCTCCGTGTGGGAAGACGCCTTTGCTTGTGGGAACTTATAGGCTGATGAAGATAAGGTATATAGGGACAGTAGTATGTTTAGCTTTCGAACCTACCAAATCCTGCCTCTGTATAATGTTAATTAAACCCTAAGGTGATATACTATAAGATACTAATTGCCTTTGGCATTAAGTCTACCACAGTACCAACTATTGTCTGCAAAAACTATTTAAATAAATAAAAAACTGTTAAGTACATACCTTGTTCGCAAACGTATCCAGCGACGGTGATACCAAGTCCTAAAGCGGAGTCCTTGTTCAGCTCGACGTCATAGCTGAGCGTCTCCGGCTCGCCCGAGCCGCGCACCGCCATGTCCAAGGGTAACCTGGTTGATGAAGAGCATTTTCATTTTATGGATATTCGGATTGCAGTGTGCGCCACGGGTAAACGTCGCGCAGCCAAAGTCAGTAAATTAATGTAGCTCTTCTGATGAACCAGTCAGGGTTAGGAGTGCCCCGATCCGGAGTCGAAGAAGGATCGGGGTTGGTCTTAGTCAGTAAGAGTCTATTCTCGTGGTGGCCTAGAGGTTAAGGCGCCCGCTTCTCATTCATGAGAGTGCGGTTCAGAAACCTGGCAAGTACCAATGTGACATTTTCCGAGTTATATGTACTTTCTATGATTATTAATTAGACACCACTGACATACTGTGAAGGAAAACATCGTGAGAAAACCTGGATGTTTAATAATTTAAATAAAACTAATTTAATGACTATTAGAAGTTTCATTTCTTATTAGAAATTTGAATTCGCCAATCCGCCTTGAGCAAGTGTATTATTGATGAAACTTCTCCGTGTGAGAAGAGGCTTTTGCTCAGCAGCGGGCACATAAAAGCTGGCACATAATCAGCAACCAGAGAAGTCATTTGATTATTGTCCCCCTCAAAAGAACCATATTAATATTAGTTAATATATAGAATCGCTCCGTACCTGAGAGGTGGTGGCTGTGGCTGCGGCGGAGGCTGCACGATGGCGGGAGGTCGAGGAGACGGAGCCAGCGCTCCACGTGGCACCACCGCCACTATGGACGCCACCGGCTATAGAAATAGAGTTCAAGCAATTAACACCTTCATTCATTCATTCCAAAATGATACAATTATAACAAAACTATGAGTGGAAGTGCCTAGCTTTGGCACAAATGATACCAAAGCCTGGCAGAAAATCGGCATAAATTGTTACAGCAATGTGTTTCGTTGTGTGAGTGAAGTTACTGGAGGCCCAATACGGGAATAATTTTGCCTACCGTAACTCCAGCCATTTCTTTCCAATCTCAAAATCTTCGAAACCTTAATCTAATTATAATAAACCCTAACCTCTTGTCTAAATACATCTGTTACGTTTTAATATCTTTGAAGTAGACGAAACTAAAATAAAAAATTATAAAACACAATCTCTACTCACCCGATGATGCAGCCGTTCCTCAATGATGGTGGGAGGTGGGGATGGCGGGGAAGTATCCTCGCAGAGTGCTCCGAACCCATCGTGCCCAGCTTCGGACAGTCGACGCTCAAGCTCTATGGGGTCAGCTAGCAGACGGGACGGTACCACTGGCGCTGGTGGTGCTCCTAAAGGCTGAGAAACATAAGAGTGATTAGTAAAAATTAACCTTCAGCTAGGTGGACAGCAGACGGCTGGTAGTGGTTGGATGAGAAGACCTGAACTTCGAGCTCAGTGGTGTGCGATTGAAGAAGCCTATGTCCAGTAGTGGACGAAATCAGGCTGATGATGATGAGTTAAACATTTAATTTCAGGCGAGTTGACCTATTTTCTCCAAAGAACATAATTGTAAGATGTTTAGGATGATGAAGGATGTCGATTGGTATCAATCTTCAAATGAGATTTACTGGCTAGAAACTCGTTCCTTCTCTTGGTCCAAGCTGCAGCCACGGTACATGACTGTGCTTACACTCGCCAACCGGGCCATGTATATATATATACCTAGGAGCTCATCGGTGGAGTTAGATTTAATGACGTCGGACACTGCGAGTGCCGTTGTGAATTGAAACTAGTAGAGCTTTTCTAAGTTAATTCACGTGAGTCATTATTTATAGTATTACTATTATATTATAAAACTGAAGAGTTTGTTTATTTGAACGCGCTTATCTCAGAAACTACTTTTTGTATTTAATTGACCATTTATTGAGGAAGGCTTTAGGCTATAAAACATCACGCTACGATCTGTAGGAGCCGTGCAACGGGTGACGCCGTAGCAAGTTTGCAATAAAGTGAGATTGTACTACATAGTTCGTTACAGGCTGACCTAATAAAACCTAATGAAAACGCTTCAATGACAAAAATATATTTCTGTAGATAAGACACACACATTTCAATATCCAAGTAAATAAAGCTGAAAACAGAAACCTCTAGAATAGAGACCTTTTATAGAGTCTATTAATTACACAATCGAGCCATAAATAGACTTATTACACAAATAAATCTGCGACTGACATTATTAAAGCCCATTTTAGAATAGAAATACAATTCCTTTCATTTCAAAGTTGGAACACTAAAGTGGCTATGAAACCTGTCTCGCGCAATTACGTCACATCCGTCGGAAGTGACGGTCCCAAGACGGATGTCGCGTTAATAGCCGCCGTACTCTCAATTATGAATATCTTCCCTCTGAGAGGACAGGAGTGACGAGCCCTCTTCATGACACACTTCAAATGTTTTATAATGAGATGGCGTTTTGGTTCTTATTGACGTTATTTGCTCTAGATGGCGCATGTGTAGGAGGTTGATGCCTGAATGAATAGTTTTCTTTGCAATTTTACAGAGATCTCGATTTGTCTGATTTCAAATACAATGTATAAGTCGTAAGATCATCATCATCATCATCATCATTGCCATCTTCATGTCACTTTTAAACCAACTAGTTGGAAACAACCTGTATCCAGAGGCTTTTATCCGTAATTTATCCTTACCTAACACTATAACCCTACACTACAGACGCCTTGTGTAAAAGTCACTGATCTAGTGTGTAAAATGAAATGAATTCCTATTTTATTCAATACTAACCCCTAACCTTCTTCTTTCAATAACAAACACAACAAAATGAGAATTAGCAAAATGGCTCCAGTCGTTTTCGAGTTATGAGCTTGCAAACCAATTTGCTTTTCATTTTTATACTATTCCGATATATACTGCTAGCTACTCCCGGGCGGTTTCACCGGCTGCCCTGATCCTTCAGATCGTAGCGTGATGTATATGGAATGTATATAAAGCCTTCCTCGAACAAACACTAAAATACTTTTTCAATTCGAACCAGTTTTTTCGGAGATTAACGCTTTAAAATAAACAAACTCTTCAGCTTTATACTAGTATAATAATAGTATCGATGTGCAATGTATCTGTTTGTTTCCCAAATAAAATAAAAAAATATATATTGAATACTACTAATCATCAAACTAGCAAGAGGTATGTAGGTAATATCTTTACACTTTTATTCTTTTACTTGGCACCGACTTTAAGATTATAAAATAGTAACTATTTTATAACTGTTATAAAATATTATTTTATATTCAACTAAATGAAAATATGTATTACTTTAAACAAAGTAAATTTATTTTTTGCTTTTTAGTTTACGTTTTGAAGTCGGTTTTTTTTTGTTAAAAAATATTTTATTTCACCATTTTAAGTGATAGGCAGAGAAAGCTAGGATGCTTCTCAAAAGAGAATACGACGGCTACTTGAGACCGAAAATCACGGTAATGGCAGTCCTGAGTTAGTCAGCTTTCAGTGCCGTAAATCGTTGAGGAATTCCCTCAAATGTCAATGACCTCCATCATCAGGTAAACTGCAGGCCTTCATTATACATAATCTATATAGGTGCAAAGTTCTCATCAATATAAATGAATGAAGTCCAAACACATTATAATTACTCCAAATAGTCAAAGAGATCCCACGACGGTCTTCCGGCTCCATCATCACAATTTACTGCATAACTTCATTGTAATCCATAAAGGTGCAAAGTTTTCATCGATATAAATGAACTAAGTCCAAACACGAGGTAGTTACGGTAAACCGTTCAGGAGTTCCCTGAGCTGTCCATCGTTCTCATCATCAGACCCTTAATGAGAGTCACGACCAATCTTGGTGCAAAGTGCTCACCAATACGAATCATTCAAGCCTAAACACAAGGCAACTACTCCAAATAGTCAACGAGATTCCTCGACTGTTTTCCGGCTCCATCATCAGGTCGGGTTCGAACATCAGCAAGTTGTAAATTTGTCAAAAGCCTACTAAAATCATATGCAAAAGCACCACTCGCCCCTACAATTTTTGAAAGTTCTCCTCGATTTCTCTGGTCTTCCATCATCAGATCCTGATTTCCTTTTCATGGGACCATTCTGGGACTATCTCCATTCCAATAAAAAAATAATTATCAAAATCGGTTCATAAATAACGGAGATATCGGCGAACAAACATAAAAAAAAAGCATATATACGGTCGAATTGAGAACCTCCTCCTTTTTTGGAAGTCGGTTAAAAAATTGACAATTGACACGAAAAAGTATACGGTAACAAAAAAAAACACATTATGTAATATTTATAGACAGAGAGAGATATCTGAAGAAATCTGTTCGGAAACTGAATAACTGGGGAAACAGGAAAGTACTCCAATAGAATGTGATCCACTCAAATGGATTGGCTATGAAGCTATGAACGGGGAAACATTTTGCACCATAAATTGGAGGTATGATATTACAAAGGTGAACTGTGGGCGGTCGAAAAGACATTGAAGAAAATGTTCTGTAGTGAACAGTTTTTTGGGAATGTTGATGAAAATTGTATTTGCAATCCTATTAATATTATAAATACCAAAGTTTTTAAGTACCTATAATGTTTGTTACTATATCATTTATTTTTTGTATGTGTTAGGTCCGCAAAGGCAGACGGATTGCCTGATGAGCAATCAGCCCTGTCCAAGGACACCCGCAAAAACAGAGGAGTTGCGAATGCGTTGCCGACTTTTTAGGGATAAGGGATTTGGAGATTTAGGGATTGGGGGGGCGGGAAGGACTGATCATCTGGTAACCTCATAAGAAACATATAGCTGTGGTATTCTTACACTGGTTTTCTGTGAGGTACCACTCCGGTCGAGCCTACCCATTCACACTTAAATTAAAAACACAGATTAAACTCTGAAATAACTTGGTACTACGGTAAGGTAAGGTACAGGACAAAGTTTTTTTACTACACAGTAACCATATGCGTACGGCTAGTCGTATTCCGTGCGCGCCTAAAAGAGCCTTCAGGCTAACACAGATTGGGAAGTTATTTGCCGATTTGCTCCCCAAAAAGGTACAGTTACAAGATTCATCACTGGCAACAATTTAACATAAAAGCCATCATAGGCTTATTGGACGAATCAATATAACTTTCGTGAGACATTCTAAATTAATTATTGTTTTCGGCTTACTCACGTAATAATTTGATGAGATACTCGACTAGTTTCAAGCCATGCTAGAGGCCCATATTCATGAACAGCATTCCGCGACACGCGACTCGGCGACAGTCGCGCTGCTACTTTGGACTGGACCGTCATGAATATGGGCCTCTAGCATGGCTTGAAACTAGTCGAGTATCTCGTCAAATTATTACGTGAGTAAGCCGAAAACTTAATCTATACTAATATTATAAAGAGGTAAAATTTGTAAGTTTGTATGTAGGGGGTAATCTTCAGAACCGCTGGTCGGATTTCCAAAATTCTTTCACTGATTGATAGGTACAATGTTTATGAGTGCTATAGGCTATAAAACATCACGCTACGATTAAACAGAGCCGAGCAGCGGGTGAAACCGCGCGAGATTAGTTACTAATTAATATTTGCAATAACAATAAGATAAGCACTTTTTCTAATATTAGCTCAGATTAAATTGAAACACAGTGAACAGGTTTCGTATAACAAATCTGAATTATCAAACTATGATAGATGTGTTTTAAAATATTGTACAAATAAACGATTCGCTTGAAGACAGGCAGCTGTTAGCAGCCGTGACGTCATTGCATCTTTATTACTTCGAATAGAAATTATAAATATGGTTTCACGTAGCAAGACTGGGTCGGTTGGTAAATAAAACACATTCATTGCTTTAAGCAATCATTAAAGTTTCTTTTTCGTAAATACTGGACGAACTACTGAAATTTGATGTTTCAAATATATATATGATATACTTTTTTTATTACATTTATCATTTTAATGAAATTATATTAACATTCAATTTTCCGAGTTACACGTAATTTCTATGATTATTTAGACACCACTGACATACAGTGAAGGTAAACATCGTGAGGAAACCTTACAATTTCTAAGAGTTTGAAATCGCCAATTCGCATTGAGCAAGCGTGGTGATTAATGCTCACACCTTCTCCATGTGAAAAGAGGCCTTTGCTCAGCAGTAGGCTGATGATGATAATGATGAAGGATTGGGATTACGGTAACCTCATTCACACAGCATAACAAGCATTATTTCACTTCATGCAACTGTAAAACATGGCTCTCTAAAACATATAAAATCCCGCCATCAATATCAATTAAAACACATAGGTACACGTACAAGCACTTTTGAAACTTCAATTGACGCAAAGCTAGCTGTGCTGAGCAATTTTAAAATGTACATTTCATTATAATCCACTCAAATATCAAGTTACCGAGTCTTGTAAGTAAGCGTATGGTAAAATTTCTAGCGCTAAATCGCTTTGAATGTAAAATGCACGAAACCTAAGCTCGCCAGTAGCACCTTCCTCTATTTAAAACGTCACTTAACGACGACCTAGTTGTTTTAATTGGAGGTTGCAGTTTCTTAGGCTTTTGTGCAAGACTCGCCAATTAGCGGGCAAGGCGCGGCGTAGTGGCTATTAGAACTGATATACGACTCAGAATGTGTGAACTTATTGATGAATTCATTTTATTATATACTAACTACTCTCTTGCGGTTTCACCTGCTGCTCGACTCTATTTGATCGTAGCGTGATGTTGTATAATAATGAAATAATGAGTTTCTTTTTTGAAATAAGCCATAAAACGGCACTTTTACATGTCAAATTATATGTAAAAAACTAGATGAAGTCGGCATTTCTTATCTGACTACTCTGAGAAGAAATTCCGAAACGAAATCAAAGGTCAGCCACTTTTCAAGTCCAGACAATGTAAAAATAATATAATGTGAGAGAGCCGTGCAAGTTCATTCTGGTGTGATCTTTTGAGGAAAGAACCAGACCAGTTTAGGTGGATCCGTTCTGAAGACAGGCACGCAAGTGTCAGTTTGCAACCAATATATCTAGTGCTGCTGATTGTCCGATGAACAATACCGATCAAAAGAACTCGTGGGTGGGTCGTGGGATAGCCTATAGCACTCAGGAACATTGTAACTATCTATCAGTGAAAGTATTTCGGAAATCCAACCAGCAGTTCCAAAGTTTACCCCCTACATACAAACTTACAAATATAACCTCTTTCTAATATTAGCATGGATTTGTTTTTCGTCGTAGACTAAAGCGTTAGAAACTGTGATTGCGTGGTTGGATGTGTTTTTGATAGGTCTATTTGTGGTTTCGTCTAAAACAATATTAGTTGGATATGGGAGAGCCATGCTTCGGCACGAATGGGTTGGCTCGACCGGAAAAATAACGTGGGCTCACAGAATACCGGC